GATTTGCTGTCGTTTTGTTTAACACGAAAGGGAAGCCACTTTACCCTTTCAATCGATTCGATTTTTCAGTTTCTTCCACTCTCCTCACTTGTTCTTGTCAAAATCGAGACTAGGGTTTTGCAGAACTCAAATTGATCGAAGAAGCAAAGGGAATCATCTTCTGAGTCTCGCGCTCGACTCAACCAACACGTGGTATCAGAGCCCGGCTCCGACGAACGAGGTCTAGCCATCTCCGGAGAACATGGGTTCAAGCGCAAACACGAGTGGAGTCTTCATGGCAGATGGGTTCTCACAAACAAGACCACCACGATTTGAAGGAGTACACTACGGCTACTGGAGGAATCGAATGGAGCTATTCATTGGCTCAACCGATCCAGATCTTTGGAACATCGTGCTGGATGGTCCTCTTGAAGTTAAGGAGGCTCGAGGAAAATGGACCGACGAGGATAAGAAGAATTTCCAACTAAACTCAAAGGGCACGAATCTGATGTATTGCGCATTAGGGCCAGAAGAATATCATCGTGTTTCTGGATGCAAGACCGCGAAGGAAATCTGGGACAAACTCCAGATTGCTCACGAAGGTACCTCTCATGTCAAGATTTCTAGAATCAATGTTCTTAAGCAAGAATTCTAAGCCTTTGTGATGAAGCCAGATGAGACGATCAAGGAAATGCATGATAGATTCACAACCATAGTTAATAGTCTGAGAAATTTGGAAGTAGAATACACAAGTGCTAATCTGGTCAGGAAAGTGCTTTGGGTGTTGCCAAAAAGGTGGACTCCTAAAGTTACTGCAATAGAGGAATCAAAGGACTTAACCAGGTTAAGTCTAGATGAGTTGATGGGGTCGTTAGTCACACATGAAGATAAGCTGAGACGAGAAGAAAATGAGGAACCAAGAAAAGAAAAACGTGGTATTGCATTCAGAGTTTCAGAACAAGAAGAAGAGCTTGATAATCTGGATGATATGGAGGATGATGAGTTAGCCATGCTAAGCAAGCATGTGGCTAAACTGATGAGATTGCGGAAGGAAAGAAGAAAAAAATTCAACAGCCGTGCTAAGGAGGCTGATTCAGACAAAGATTAGTTCAGGCAATCCAGAAAGAAATCAAGGTTTAGAAAAGAATCATTTGAGAAGAATGCTCCTCAAGCAGGATGTTTTAAATGTGGAAGGAGTGGACATATTAAAGCAGAATGTCCACAAATAAAGCGAGAAAAGGCTTGTGTAGCCACTTGGAGTTGCAGATGAAGATGAATGCCACTCGTCTCAGGTACGAACACTAAGCTATTACTCTGACTCTGGTAGTGAAAATGATCTAATTAATGAAACTATTAAGGATATACAACTGGAAGTCAAGAATGTAAAAGTTAAGTATTCAAAACTTAAGCTAGAATTTGATAAATTAACTGAGTTGTATGCTAATCTAAAGGAAGAAAAGTTAAGTCTAGATGAGCAAATGCATGAAGTTGTGAAAAGAAACAATGAACTAGAATGCAAGCTAGCAGAATATGTAAATGTGCATGACGGTTCAAACAGGAAAGGTATTCATATTGGTAGATCATTTGTTAAAGGTCATTGTTATGATTTAGAAAATGTAGAATGTTTCTACTGTCATTTGAAAGGACATTACATTGATCACTGTAAAAAGAGAATAGCTAAAGAAGCTAGACTGAGATCGGGAGTGTGTTATGTATGCCATGAAACTGGTCACATGAGCTATGGATGCAAAAATCTAAGGTAAAAAATTGACAGTCCTTGGTTGGTGTGGGTACCTAAAACAAAATAAAACATTTGTGTGGTTAGGTCTGCTTCCAAGTGAGCATGGTAGACAGCGAATGGATACTGGATAGTGGTTGCTCACATCATATGACTGGTAATGAAAAACTCTTCACAAAATTGATTAAAGAAAAGAAAGGTAAAGTGTATTTTGGTGATAACTTTAGCACTGACGTTCTTGGTAAAGGGGAAGTTGGAACTGCACCTAAAATAAAAAAATGTAATGTTAGTAAATGGGCTAAAACATAACTTGTTTTCAATCAGTCAAATTTGTGGAGAATCGAATAGAGTGGTACTTGAACCATCTGTGTGTTACGTTGAAAACATTGAAAGTGGAAAGATTCTATTTTCTGGTAAAAGGAAAGGAAAATTGTTTTGCATAAACTTAGGTGATAGAGGGCTATTTAAAGAAATGTGTTTGGTAACTGTTAATAAAAATGATCAGTTAGAATGGCATAGGAGACTTGGACATGTGAGTGCAGGTACATTATCAAAACTGGTCAGTCTAAACTTAGTAACTGGTATTCCTAAAGTAAATTGCAAAAAGGAGTTTTTTTGTGAAGCATGTGCAAAAGGAAAACAAGTCAGATCCTCGTTTAAAAGAAACAAATCATTTCTACTTCAAAAACTTTGGAACTGTTGCATTTAGACTTATTTGGATCTAGCAATGTTATGAGTTTAGGAGGAAAATCATATGCATTTGTAATAGTAGATGACTTCTCCAGATTTACATGGGTATTGTTTCTGGGAAGCAAAAATGAAAGCATATAGAAATTTTAAAAATCTTATCAGGCGTCTTGAGAATGAAAAGGGAACTAAAGTAATCAACATCAGAAGTGATCATGGTGGTGAATTTATATCAGAGAAATTCGATAGATTCTGTGAAAAGACTGGTATAGCTCACAACTTTTCTGCTCCTAGAACACCTCAACAAAATGGGGTTGTAGAAAGGAAAAATAGAACCTTGATAGAGATTGCTAGAACAATGCTGAATGAGTATAGTCTTCCTAAACATTTCTGGGCAGAGGCTGTCAATACAACATGTTATACTATAAATCGTGCCTTAATCCGGTCCAAACTTAATAAGACACCATATGAATTATGGAAAGATAGGAAGCCAAATCTGGGGTATTTCCATACTTTTGGATGTAAATGCTTTGTGATTAATACTAAAGACCATCTAGGAAAGTTTGATTCCATATCAGATGAGTCAATCTTTTTGGGTTACTCATCACATAGTAGGGCTTACAGAGTGTACAATAAACGGACTCTCAAAGTTGAAGAGTCCATACATGTGGTATTTGATGAATCTTCGAGTGAGTGTGCAGATACAATTGATGAGGATGATGATCTAGGACTTCGACATCACTCTAGAGCTCATCAAGAAACAACAGTAGAGAAAGAAACTTCAATCGAGGTTATGCAAAGCTCAAACAAGGAAACAGAGCTTGAAGAACGCCCTGTGCAAGCACCTCCTCATATTCAGAAGAGGCATCCACCTTCTCAGGTAATTGGGCGACATGAATCAAGGTATGACTACTAGGTCTCAAAAGAATAATGTGCATTCTGCTTTTGTGTCAATGATTGAGCCTAGAAATATCCAGGAAGCCTTAGATGATGAATTTTGGACAACATCAATGCAAGATGAACTAGGATATTTTGAACGGTTAAAAGTGTGGGATCTGGTATCTAAACCTGTAAACAAACCTTTAATTGGAACAAAATGGATCTGGAGAAATAAAACTGATGAATTGGGTGACATATCTAAAAACAAATCTAGCCTGGTAGCTCAAGGATATAGTCAAGAAGAAGGTATAGATTTTGATGAATCATTTGCCCCTGTGGCAAGATTAGAAGCCATTAGATTACTTTGTGCCTTTGCTGCTTCTAAGGGATTTAAACTGTTTCAAATGGATGTTAAGAGTGCATTTTTTAATGGTGAACTCAAGGAAGAAGTATATGTAGCTCAACCAGCAGATTTTGAAAATCACAAATATCCAGATCATGTATATAAATTAAACAAGGCCTTGTATGGTTTAAAACAAGCTCCTCGAGCCTGGTATGAAAAGTTAAGTAACATTCTGATTAGTGATGGCTTTCATAGAGGATCAGTAGATAAAACCTTATTCATAAAATCTGTCAAAAGTAACACAATTTTGGTCCAAGTGCATGTTGATGATATAATCTTTGGGTCTTCTAGTACAGATTTATGTACTGAATTCGAGACTTCCATGAAAGGAGCATTTGAAATGAGCCTTATGGGAGAATTAAAACATTTTCTAGGGCTCGAAGTTAAGCAGAACAAAAATGGAACATTCATTAGTCAATCAAAATACCTCTCAAACATGCTTAACAGATTTGAATTGAACAATCTTAAGTCTGCACAAACTCCAATGGGCTCTACAACAAAACTTACCAAAGATGAAAATGGAGTTTCAGTAGATGATATGTTGTTTCGAGGAATGATTGGTTCCTTATTATATCTTACTGCAAGTAGGCCAGATATTGTCTATAGTGTAGGTGTCTGTGCTCGCTTTCAAAGCTGCCCTAAAATGAGTCACCTAACTGCAGTAAAAAAGAATATTCCATTATCTGTCAGGATTGCAGTCTCTAGGACTGTGGTATTCTAGGGAATCCAGCTTAGAACTTCTCAGCTATAGTGGCTCTGACTATGTCGGGTGTGCTCTTGATCGGAAGAGCACTTCTGGTACATGTCATTTCCTTGGAACCTCTCTAATTTCATGGGCTAGTAAAAAGCAGAGCTCTGTTGCTTTGTCAACTGCTGAAGCAGAATACATTGCAGCTGGACTAGGTTGTACTCAACTGTTATGGTTAAAATATCAACTCCAGGATTATGGCCTTGAAATAGGGTTACCTTCTATTCTCTGTGATAACACTAGTGCAATAAATACGACCAAAAATCCCATCCAGCACTCTCGTACCAAACATATTGAGGTCCGATACCATTTTATTAGAGATCTAGTTCAAGATGGAAAGATTAAACTTGAATTTACAAGCATAGAAATGCAATGGGCGGATATTTTTACTAAGCCTCCTGGGGTGGAAAAGTTTCTGTCTATACGTAATGAACTTGGCTTATTTCTTCTTGATGCAATTACTCCCTCTTGAAAATCCGATTCACTGAATCTAAATATTCTCTTACCATTTTTGGAATTCTTTCCCATGACGGTTATACACTTTCTCTATCTCGTTTACCCTCTCCTCAATAAGATCTCTAGGGTTCTCAAGCATCTTTCACCCATTCAACTCAACCCAAACTTCTCTTAACATCTGTCCAACATGGCTCCGATCAATGCTCAATTGCGTCATCCTGCTGTGTTCAACAACAAAGGGTTTTGCAATGCTGATGTCTACTCGAGATATCTTCGACGATTTCGCGATCGTCCCATCTATCCCTCACTTTCCCTCCATCCTGCTGCTTTCTCAAAGTATGACATGAACATTCCTGCTCTTCTTCACGGTCTTGGGTGGCAATCACTGGTGGAAAATATGCGGTTCAGTTACTGTCCAGAAGCTGTTCGTTTATTCTATGTAAACATTCAGCGTGGCCCTGGTGCTGATCCTGCCTTTTTCACAACAACGGTGTTCAACTTCGAGATCAAGGTTACTCTAGAACTGTTGGCCACAACTCTTAATATCGCTCATACTTGATATGATCCCAAATTGCCCACAATTCACATCACAATTACTTGACAAAGAAGCTATCAAAGTTGGGAAGAAGAAAGGCAGAATTTGGCTAAGTCAAAATCCGTGTTCAGGGTACATACTTTGGAGGCACGGTTCTCTCAATTGGCTTGGTGGAAATTCAATTTTAAGGGTTTGTTTTGCAGATAAAGTTTCCCTCTTTCCAATGGTATGCTCTGTGGATTCAGATGATGTCATTAAGGTTGTTTTCCAAGGCCTCAAAGTTGCTACCTCAAAACTGGAAAACTGCCAGAAAATGGTTAAGTCTGGAAACTGTTTTGTGAAGCCTACTTTGGAGCTCAATTCAAGGAGCATGGATCTGATTCGAGACCAAAGGCTTCTACAAAATGAAACTAGGAATGTTTATCTACCAAGGGAAGGAATCGGATGAAAGATCGGAGTTCTAGAAGGCCTTGTACGAAAGGTGTGAAGTTAGTACGAAAGCTGCTTTTGGACTGTTTGCTGGCAGCTTACTTGCACTTGAAGAAAGAGAGTTTAAACCCGAATTTTGTGTCCTTTTTAGTGTAGACTTTTACCTTAATTGTTTTCTAGTCCTATTAGGATTGTATTAGGTTTATTTGCCATTAAATACCCTCTAGTTTTTGTTGTAATAGTTAGAAGACTTTGATTAATCGAAAAACAAACCTTTGGTTTTGTGCAAGTTGCGACTTGTTTTGGGTTTGGTGGATTCCAAACTTGCTGAGCTTGTGTATCCATTGAATAGTCACTTCAATCGTGGTCGAGCAACTACCCTTTTATACCAATCGAGCGTTCCCCAGGTGTGGAATCGTCCTTTTGGTTCCGTTTTATCCAAGTTCGTATTAAGAACGCTTCGTTCTTGATTCGAGCTCAATCGATTCTTCGATTGAGTCGTTAGCTGCGTGACTTTGATAACATACACCCCCCCCCCCCCCCAGTGGCGTATTAATACTGGTCTCTGTGCTGGCACTGATAGTGAATTTGGAGCATTAGGGTTTGACTTTATGGTTGCCCTTGGATCCCTCACCCATGACATAGGTCAATTCTTCCCTTCTCATCTTGCTGCTGGTCGGCTGCCTAATGACCTCAAAGTTCTTCACTTCTTCCTTACCAGGAGTTTTCTTCCTCGTGATCTATCTACCACAAATCTTCTTCATCCCTCCGATCTGTGGGTCTTGTCTCATGCTGGAGCTGGCACTCCTATTAGCTATGCTTCTCTCATGTTTCATCACATGCTCAAGTATGGAATGGAATTTTTTGGAGGTCCTCTGCCCTTTGGCCCCCAAATCACCATACTCCTCTCCTTTTTACGCATCGATATGCGTGATAAACTTCATCAATGCAAAGTCCTAGATGACTTGCGTCCTCAGCATGTTCTTGCGAAGATAGATGCACTTGTTGGGCCCCGTAAGCCTCTCACTGGCTTAGGGGGAGTCAAACCAGGTCTTGCAACTTCTTCTGGTCTCAAACCAGGTCCTGCAACTTCTTTTGGTCCTGCATCTTATTCATATGGGAGACTAGTTGGTGCACTTGTTGATGTTGTCGTTACTGTAATCAAACGTGAGTCATCAAGTGAAATGGAGCAGTCTGTCACCTTGAAGAAACTTAGGCAGGAGGATCTGATGTGTCCTAAGTTTGTCTATGAGTCTGGATCAATTAATGATCCAATTAGCTCTGATTCAGTTTCAGAATTCAATGAGGCGGCTAGTGATGAAGATAGTGTTTCGGAATATGAGTCTCCACCAAAGTATCCTTTCTAGGGAGATACAATGCGGGGGGAGCGTCTTATGTTCTTTTCGAAATTATTAGTGAATGGTTAAGAAAGGATTTTGTAGGGGTCTCTGATTGTAGTATGGAAATGTTCCAATGAATAAAGATGTTAAGGTTTTCTGAAGATCTGTGTGCATGATTTACTTTAATTTATTAGTGGAACAGACTGCACCAATCGTTCGTTGAATGTGTGCAGGAAGTTAAAGGTTAAAGGGACGAGCCAGTGACAAGCTTAGGGGGAGTTTTTTGGGTGAAGATGTGTCCACTGGCATCGTATAATTGAGGAAAGAATGAAAGGAAATCACCGAGCTGAAACTAAAAGAGGAAGGCTCTGCTGAATCGAGTGATTGAAGGAAATCAAGCAGGAATATTGATTCTCCAAATCTGTGTGCAACGGGTGGGAATAGCTAGACTATAAAAGAAGAGAGCTATGGGTAGTATATCATCCTTTTCAAGCAAGTTTTCAAAAGTATAAACAAGAGCGCAGACTGTGTTTTGAAAAGAAAAGGAGGTGAAGCTGTCGGTGAGATAGTTTGAGTCATTAGAGATTTGAATTCAGGCAGGGAGCTGAATTTGGATCGGGAACTCTGATCTAGTAACGGGGAGTTACTACGAGATTGATTGTAAACTGTAATCTGAATCCTACCATCATAGTGCAACGTCAAAGGACTCAAATCAGAGTACCTTTGACCGTGGATTAGTCGGTACTGAATTTATCAGTACCGGATACCACGTAAAAATACCGTGTCCGTGTTTAATTGTGCTTTACTTTGCTTCATTTTATTTCCAGCTTGTATCTGTGTTCTTGATTCAGTTCAAAGTTGAGTTTTGTGCAGAACAGATTATGATCGGTTTGCTCAAGGGAAGAAGAAGGAAACTGAGTTTTTAAAACGCAGCGTCCCAAACAAGTAAATTGGGCCAACTGAATATTGACATATTGAGAACTGTCTAAGCCCAACCCATTTCAGGACTAAACTCAAGATTCACTGTCGTTTTGTTTAACATGAAAGGGAAGCCACTTTACCCTTTCCATCGATTCGATTTTTCTGTTTCTTCCACTCTCCTCACTTGTTCTTGTCAAAACTGATACTAGGGTTCTGCAAAACTCAAATTGATCGAAGGAGCAGAGGGAATCATCTCCTGAGTCTCGCGCTCGACTCAACCAACAGTTAATTATTTCCATGTAACTTTAAACTACATTTTCAACAAACCTAAAGAATTTGAATCTCTCCTCTGTATGTGGTATCCTATTAGTGATTTTCAATGGCTAAACCCAACTACACAAAGAGCTTTTTTGAAATTAGTTGACACCTCTCCTAATGTGTAATAAAAAGAAAATGGATTCATCATCAATGTCTACTTCCCTCATAGCAACAATGAAAAATCAATTACTTGAGATTTTGTATAATTTGAAGATCAAAATGAAAGTTGGCAAAGTGTGTCATACATAGGACTATCAGTTTGGATTAAAATTTTTTATTTCAACTAAACGGACAATTAAGGTGCTTTTTTTGTTTTTTGATTTCGGTCCCAATTTCCAAACTCAGTTTGGATTAAAAAAATATTTCAACTGAACGAACACATAAGGTGCTCTTATCGTTTTTGGATTTCGGTCCCAAACTCTTTGTGCTTATCAATTTTTATTGTTTAAGTATCGGTTTTTATTTTCATGAAATCAAATTGAACCGCTTAAGGTTCGGGTTTCATTTTTTTGAAATGAACCAATTAAAACTCTTAACAATTCATTTTAAGAAAATTATTTTATTTGGTTTTATTTCCGGTTTGATTCAGTTAAACAACACACAATATCTTTGACCAAATAATAAAGACTTTTCTTTTAATATATTTGAGTGAGAGATGGGGGTAAGATGGCAAGTTCACTAAAAGACAAAAAATGAAATAGTAACATGGTAAAAAGTGTACCTAGCTTTTATATTCATTCATAAAAAGAAAATGGATTCATCATCAATGTCTACTTCCCTCGTAGAAACAATGAAAAATCAATTAATTGAGATTTTTAATAATTTGAAGATCAAAATGAAAGTTGGCAAAGTGTGTCATACATAGGACTATCAGTTTGGATTTAATTTTTTTATTTCAACTAAACGGACAGATAAGGTGCTTTTTTTTGTTTTTTGGTTTCGGTCCCAATTCCCAAACTCAGTTTGGATTAAAAAATATATTTCAACTAAACGAACATATAAGGTGTTCTTATCGTTTTTGGGTTTCGGTCCCAAACTCTTTGTGCTTATCATTTTTTATTGTTTAAGCCTCGGGTTTTATTTTCTTGAAATCAAATCGAACTGTTTAAAACTCTTAACAGTTCATTTTAAGGAAATTATTTTATTTGGTTTTATTTCCGGTTTGATTCGGTGAAACAACATACAATATCTTTGACCAAATAATAAAGACTTTTCTTTTAAAATATTTGAGTGTGTGAGAAATGGGGTAAGATGGCAAGTTCACTAAAAGACAAAAAATGAAATAGTAACATGGTAAAAAGTGTACCTAGCTTTTATATAGGAATAATATAGGAATGTCAATAGGGCAGGTCCGAGTCGGGGGTCTCGATACCCATACCTGCCCCGTGGCAGGTCGGGTCCAGGGTCAGGTAATTTATCATGGAGAACGGCCACGCCGGTCGGGGCAGGTCGACCCAATGTGTATGTAATTTATGTGAAAAACTTTTAAATATTCATTATTTTCATTAAAATACCAAGAAATAAACTATAATATGACAAAATGTAGTTGAAGTATTGGATTTTTTTTTTTTTTGACAACATAGTTAAAGTATTGGAGAAATTGAGGTTTTCACTTATTTACAAATTTATTATAGCTATAATATGAGGAAAGTTCAAAGTAATTTGACTAAGATTACATGTACTTTAGGCAAAAACGGGTCGAGAATGGGACAGGTCGGGTCGACGAAAGGTACCCATTCCCGCCCCTCCTAAAACAAACCAAACAAGTCGGGTAAAACGGATCAGGTCGAAATTGTCATCCCTACTATATATATAAGAGGATAACATGATAATAAGTGTACCTAGGTTTTATATATAAGATAAAGATAATAATTACTTAATTGTGACTCAAGAAAATCATAGAGTCTTCAAAATTATGGATGGATTTGGGTTCGCCATCATTCAACCCAAGATTCATTGTTGGCTAGTTAAAAAGGTCAAAGCCGACCCAATCATGTACCAAAGTGTTGATGCATGGCATTTTGGTATGTAGGGAACTTGACGGTGCAGGACTGCAGGTTATGCGCATAGCTAGGAGTAGTCGGCCAGCAAAGGATCTATCATCAGTAACAGTAATTCATGACACATAACTATTTGAACAGAACCAAGAGAACATATACTTGCAGTAATGTCAACCGGAAAACATAGGTCTTGGCGACTACGGAAATGGAAAAGAGAAAAGGAAGTTTCAGGAGTCCAGGACGAGAACGAGATAGTTACCACTGGTGAGGTGAGCCGCCCACAGGAAGCTTAAAATTCTAATGGAAAGGGACAAATCTCTCTCTGTTCTCTCTATCCTGACAAATAGGGGTGGCATTGTTCCGGATTTTTTAATTTTACTTTAGACCGAATCATATAATTCGGACCGAGACCGGATCGAAACCGGATAGTAAACAATACTATCTCATTTTCGGGTTTAGATTTGAGATAAAAAAAAAATGTTCCGGACCAAACCAAAAATCGGATAAGAGAGCCCAACACCCAAAACCTAACCAATTCCTCACCCTTTCAGGTCTCAAGCACCTCAAATCCTCACAAGTTCTATCTGAAATCAAGATCGAATTGGGACTATCCAATTCTATCTTTGGTCCTCATCTTCTCCAAAAAAACTGAACCGAAACCGAATCAATTCGAACCAATTTAACCGGATCGGACGGGTATTGCCAACCAAAAACAAACATTTTCACAAGGAGAAAAGGGGACCAAGAGCGAATATCTGTCCGCAGCTCCGTTCTGCCCTGTTATCTTCACCAGTGGCTCATCAATCAATCTCCAAACTGTTGCTGTTTTCCGAAGGATCATATCAGTTTGGAAATGTCCAGCCATCATCAATGCTTCAATAACCCACCAACCCTAAACCCCAGCTACGGGGCAGGGAAAGTTGAGGAGCTTGCTGGCTTCCAAACCTACGTTACTGCCTCCCCTGACTCCAACCTCGCCATCCTTCTCATCCACGATGCTTTTGGTAAAACAAAATCAAGTTATCTACCTATCTCTGTCTAAACCCTCTTTTTTTGGATTTTCGATTCTCTTCATCAAGTTCTAACCTTTTCGTTCCTCAATCTTGACCAGGGTATGAAGCACCCAACTTGAGGTATGCGCCCAAAAACTTTGAACTGGGGTTGTGTTGAAAAGGCTCCCCAGACAGTGGTTTTATTATTGCTTTCCCCAATCTGTAGGAATCTGGCAGACAAAGTTGCGAGCTATGGATTCTTCGTGGTGGTGCCTGACCTGTTGTATGGCGATCCAGCTGATCCGGGCAACCCTCAATTTGACCGACAAGCCTGGCTGGCTACTCATCCCACAGTAAGTTCTTACTCAGAAACCTATGTGCAATTCGGCTGGCCATGGTGAATTGTAACCAGCTTTTGCTTCACAAGAATTGATTATTGGAAGGCTCTATGCAGTCATACACATGTCTTTTGGCTAAATCAGATAGACCTCGTCATCCAATTATGATTGTTTCTCTATGTTTGTGTTTTTCGACGATGTTTGTGAAATCGTATCTGCAATCGTTGTAGCGAAGCTAGTTGTTCAAAGATTGAAGGTGAACCTGAGAACAAATAGTGATTTGGGTGACAGGAGAAAGGATATGAAGATGCCAAGAAAGTAATTGCTGAGCTGAAAAGCAGAGGATTTTCTGCAATTGGGGCAGCTGGTTTCTGCTGGGGTGGTGAGTTGTTAAGGAATGGGGTTCTTCAAAAACAGTCTTTCTTGTGGGAAAAAAGACATGAAAGGTGATGAGGTCTCCTTTTTCTTGTTTGACCAGGGATGGTGTTGGTGAAACTAGCAAGTGGTACTGAACTTCTGGCTGGAGTCATACTCCATCCTGGCCCTATCACAGTTGAAGAGATCAATGGTAAGAGAAAATGAAGCCATAGCATTTCAACCATGGTCGAATTCTTGAAGCGTGACACTAGTTTTTTGGTTTTCCTTCAGCTGTCAGGATTCCAATTGCTATATTGGGTGCTGAGAATGACCATATCTTCCCAGCCGACCAGTTAGAACAGCTTGGACATGTACTGGCAACGAAATCAGGACAAGTATGGCTTTTGTGTACTCCTTTTACAGCTCATTTTTTACCGATACAATTTGGGTAATGATGAAAATCTTCTCTGAACTAATATGTGAACCTTTCGTGGCAATTGTGGATCTTCGCAGTTTGAGAGCTATGTGAAGATATTCCCAGGCGTTTCCCACGGGTGGACGATGAAGTACAAGGAAGAGGATGATTCAGCTGTGAAGGTTGCTGAAGAGGCACATCTAGATATGCTGAATTGGTTCCTTAAATATGTTGGAAAATGAGTTCAGTGCCTCATATCTTTGTGTTGGAACTTTTGAAGGTATACGGTTTAATGAAAACTCAACTCTCTTGGCTAACTAGCTTGGATCCAGTCCTTTGGTCGGAATAAGGCCAAATGGAAACCCAACGTTCTTAGCTTACTAGCTCGAAGGGATCTCGAACCTTGTTCGTTGACCAAAATATTTAGGTTGTTTTTTTTTTTTTTTAATTATTTGAAGATTTTGTTGCAAATTTGATATTTGACAGTTTTGATTCATCGCGTGTATAAATTTAGTAAGTTTGATACATCTCAATCATAACTGATGAATAATTGTGTCAGTCATTTTATAATTACGATATTGTTCAAAATTGCAATATTTATTTTAGGTTGATTATCTTAGTCAAGATTTTTGTACTTGATTTTTCTTAGATAGATTATTTAAAAGTATAAAAAATGTGTAAAATATCTACTATAGATATGTCAACATATATATTTTATAGATATCATAATTCTTTCCAAAAAATACATGACTACGCAAATTTGAATAAACAAAATACAAGGTGTCTTCTATAACACCCATAGACAGAATGTTATATGAAGGTGATAGAGACCCGCGGGGCGGGTAGGGGTCGGTTTGGCCGTTTGGGCTGGGTTGATGGCATTTTTGTTATTTTGTGTTAGTTTTCTGAAACACATAAAATAGGGTTCTGCACATTCATTTGAGTTTAAGGAATAAGAATATCAAAATCCCTAAATCCCTCTTCTCTCTGTTCTTCCCCAATTCTATTTCCAATCCCAAATTCTTTTCCCCAATCCCTAATTCTTCTTCTCTAATCCCAATCCGATTCTTCTCTATCAATTGGTATCAGAGCCTCCAATGAGCTCATCATGGCTCTCTGATCTAGTGTGGATCCATATCCAACGGACCATTGATGCTATTTGTGCTGACCAAGCCGCAACGGCGCGCGCGAGGGGCTGGCCAGCGGGAGAGGCGGACGACCCAGCCAGGGGATCGGCGGCGCGGCCGCAGCAGGTGGCGGCGGGGGAGCTGGCGCTCGGGGCGCTGTCGCGCGAAGACCCGTCGGGCGAGGAGGCCGCTGTCGCGGCAGGGGAGACGACCGCAGCTGGCGGTGGACGCGGCGCGACGCGCGTCGGGGCGGCGCTCGCCGGCGTCGGGGCGGCGCTCGCCGGCGTCGGGGCGGCGCTCGCCGGCGTCGGGGCTCTGTCACGGCGGGGTGCAAGGACCAGCGGCGGGGATCGGGGGCAGCAGACTACCTCAGACTACTCCGGCGGTCTCGCTCCACTCGGTGACCGGCCTGCCTACACCGGGAACCCTCCGTTTCCGAGCAGAGATAGCCAACACCACCGCGCTAACCTTGGTGGACAGCGGAGCGACCCTCAACTTCATCAGCGAGGCCAATGGGGCGCCTATGCGGTGCCAGGCAGTGTATCAGGGCATGTCTTTCGAGATTCAAGGGCTGCCCGTCACCGCGGATATATATGTCTTGCCAATCCGTGGGTTTGACATGATATTGGGTGTTCCATGGTTGCAGGAATTGGGGCCGGTGACTACTAACTGGCGACATTTAACCATGCGGTTCAAGTGGCGAGATAAGGAGTGGAGCTTGCAGGGGCTGACGACGGCTCTGGGTCCCATTTCGCTCCATGAGTGCCTCGTGGAGGGAGAGGTCGAGCTGGCGGTCTTCTGTTGGCCCGCGGTGGCAACAGAAGGGAAGGAGGTGGCCCCTGATCTGCAGCAGGTGTTGGATGAGTTCCCAGAGCTCTTTCAGACGCCGACCACTTTGCCGCCCCACAGACAGTTTGATCACCGGATTCAGCTCAAGGAAGGAGTGGAGGCTGTGAATGTCCGGCCCTACCGGTACGGGCACTCGCAGAAGGAGGAGATAGAGCGGCAGGTGCAGGAGATGCTCGAGACCGGGCTAATCCGCCCTAGCACCAGTCCTTTTTCCTCGCTGGTGCTTCTGGTCAAGAAAAAGGATGGGACTTGGCGATTCTGCACGGACTACAGGACGCTCAATGCTGCGACGGTGAAAGATCGGTTTCCGATCCCCACAGTGGATGATATGCTCGACGAGCTTCATGGCTCGACCCACTTCACTAAACTCGACCTGCGGGCCGGGTACCACCAGATCCGGATGCAGGAGGAGGATGCGCACAAGACCGCTTTCCGAACTCACAATGGCCACTACGAGTACTTGGTCATGCCCTTCGGTCTGTGCAATGCTCCTTCGACGTTTCGGGTGGCCATGAACGACATTTTCATCCCTACCCATCATATCCCTCTCCTTGTCGAGCTCGTGACTGTGCCTCTTCCGCGGAGGCGAAGGCGACGGGGAGGGATGGTGGCGGCGGTGGCGGCGGTTTGGCGTGCGTGTTCAGTCCAACAAAGGTGCGTCGCCATCTCCCTATCCCAGATCTGTCAATTTCGTTGCCGAACTAGTAGGCGGTGGGGCGATCCTAGGTAAGAAGGAAAAACCAGAGACAATGGCGAAGACGGCAAGTTATCTTGGACACCGCCGACATATCCTGGGTGGCGTCAACGTCGGGGATTGTCTCGAATCGGAGACGGCGAGTTTGGCAAGAGCACGACGGTGTTGGATTAATCAGCTAACGGAGTTCGATTTTTCCATGAGAGAAGAAGACGGAAGCGCTGGGTTTTGTTTAGGGTGGGGATTTGGGCATGGAGAAAGAGGGGAGAGGGGAAAGATGGCGATGGAACCCTAGGAAGAAATGGGAATTTCTGGTCCGCGGTGTTTTTTTGTCTTGGGGAGAAGATAATGGAGAAAGAAGTTAAGGAAGGGGAAGGGTCCTCGTACCCCTTCTTTTTTATTTGATTTTTTTATTTTTAGTTTTTTATTTATTATAAATAATAATGAGGTGTTTTGGTAAAAAAAATTAATAATAATGTGTGCTGGTCTAGTCAGCGCAGTATGCTGAGTCACGGACGGAGATAATAGTTGATTGTTAATTTTGACGGTCAACATAAGTTTCGGGCCAAATTTGTCTAATAATTTCAAAAGTAGGTCATAAATGTCTTATTGAAAACTGGGGCCAAAACTGTTACTTACGCTATACTTCGGGCCAAATTAAGGTATTAACCCTAAGATTTACATACATTGATCATATTGTGATCTTACTCCAATATCTTAGATTATGTCGAGAGTCTTTAAGCAATGATAATTTTGGCAGAGCTTCGTGCTGAAAACGTGTTATGAAACTAATGGAAAATATAAACAACTACAAGAGAATATTAGAGAGGAAAAGACACAGAGAAGAGAGGGGGGAAGTGAGTTTTCTTATTCATTCTCCTCTTTTGATACAATAGTGTGCTCTATTTATAGGCACACTTTGGTAACTACATTCTTATATCAATGCATATGAATGAGAAATAATGATGTAGGAATAGGGGTTACATGTAATTCCCAAGTGAGCATCTAATGTGGTAGGTCATTGGTCATTCATATATCAATATTTACATAATAAAACTTTTGTTGTGCACAATTTTTTTTTTTTTTTCGGGATGTACATTTTTTACATGACATCAGCACAACTCTAACATGTACTTGAATGAGGTTCGATAGTGAAAATTCACATATTTGATAAATAAGCACCTAAGAAATAAACATGGTTTAGATTAATAAAAATAAGAGACAATCGCATATCATAATCATGTAACTAAGTTGTAGTTATATACTTATATTCCTATACTACCAATATGTACTTCTATAATTGTGTATAAGAAGGAATTTAGGAATGAAGGCGACTTGATTGGAGATGAAAGGTAGTGGAAGCCCAACCCTAGACAGGCATAAGAAGGAATTGGGGAATGAAGGCGACTTGAGTGAAGTCAAAATGAAGATGTCTATGGAGAGGTGGTGACCTACGTTTTTCTAATCATTCACCAATCAATAGTGAAGCTGAAGCAAAATGCGGAGGCTGATAATTTTATCGTATTCACAAATGATACAGGTTTGAAGTGGAGCCGACATATAAATGTATGCAAATAGGAAGCTAAAATTGTGTGAGAAAAAAGGTGGAAAAGAAAATGAAATTTTGCAAACGGTGTTGAATTGAGCAAAGTCAAAATACAAAAAGATAATTGAATCCCACTTCAATCTTTTTTGAAAGACAAAAAGGTAATTATTGTGAAACTTGTCTTGAACACTCTAGTGACTTTTCAAGAAGGTTCGGGACGGTGGTATGCTTCTTCGAAGCTGGAGTTGACGTCGACGCGTCCTGCTGCTGCGGCGGAGAAAGAGGATTGGGGACAATATCGAAATCAAGATGTGGTGAGAAATTGACAAGGAGAAGGGATTTGGGGCTTTCGCTGTTGGAAGAATGATTTGATTAAGGGTTTACGAGGGGGAGAGTGTAGAAAGGGAGAATGGATTTGAGTGATTTTGGGCAAGATGAACTCGTTCGGATTTTGGGCTGATGAGCGGTAGCTTGGACTTTTTTATTTATTATATTTCTATTTTTTGTTATACTAAAAATCAATTTAATTTTGATTTAAAATAATAATATGATGTGTTAATGACGTGGCATCTATGTGGCAATCATGTTTTTTGCCACCTCAGTAAAAGTCAACGTTTCTTTGACTGTTGTCTAGTTAAATGTTATCTTTAACGGTCAACAAAAACATCAGGATACAAATGACACAAAATATCATACGAAGGGACATTATTGAAATATTGAATGAAATCGGACACAAATGGCATTTTGTTGATAGTTCGGGTTTTGTAGTGGTATTAGCCCAAAATTAAATGAAAAATGTGACATGGTAAATTGTAGAGCTTCTTGAATCCTATATGGCGAAATGTTGCTCTAAAACAACCATAATATAAATTTCTATAAATAGAAGATAGATGGATTGGGAGATCCGGGCATTGCTTTTGCATATGGAAGACTTGATTCATGTTACAAACAAACTCGTCATTTCTTTTGTCCCAAGGCGATTGGACAAAGGAGCGGATTGGGTGGCAAAAGCATCAGGATGGACTCTTCCAAATGATTTGATTCCTATCCTATATCTTATTTCTCGTTTTATGTAAGCTGTACGAAAATCGTTGATGGAATGAATTATCCTTTGTTGAAAAAGAAACAAATATTAGAGTGCAAGTGGGTGATTAATCCGCAGTTTGATATCGATCCATCCACAAATAACTTAAACCGTTGTGTATGTGATCGATGTTGGTGGATCGTAGGTGGTCAAATCTACCAACACTTATTCGAGTGGATAGTGGATCCGCTTTTACATGACAAAAAGTTTTCTTTTTTCATAA